GACGACTCCGGGAGCGCCGTTCACCCTGGCCAACGTGCCGTGTCCCGGGGAGAGCCCCCCGCACACGGCATCCCGGGAAGGAATAGCGCAGACAGCGCAGTAGGGCCGTACCTTGCTGGGGGAGGTCCCTGGATTCGACCCCAACGTTTAACTGTCAGTTCGTCTAATTAACTTGTCTAAAATGGAGAAACGCAAGCAAGCCGTTATGTTTTCAAAATGCAAATCAATTTAAAAACAAGTAAAGGGAAATTTGATAATTACATAATGATAAAATCCAGTCGTTTACACCTGTACTTTTACTTTTTAGAGACAGCCATTGCTAGTTGAATCATTCCTACAACAAAATACAGTGTTGGCATTCGGAAGAGTTCTATGGTGGGATTTTTTCTCGTGGTGAAGGCCATAAATTACAGACCTTCATTCCCGTCAGTAATAGATGATCTTAAATATACAGTGCATTTATTGTTGGGGAAAACATAGCATTAAATGCCTATTGCAACATCTTTACATTTCATTGCTGCACTTAAAATTGTAGAATACCCAACAGAGTTAACTTTCAGAGCCAAAGATGTATAATGTATCTCCAAAGGGATGTATCCCTGGTGAGAGGTATGTCACACCAATTTCCTGCAAAGACATGTAACAACAATGTCATCAGGCTCTTCCCAACCATATGCAAACATCTCTAGAAAACAGTGGACTGAGGCCTCAACCATCCTTCTTGGATCAAATAATTTTTTTTGGTTTTGAAAATCTCTTCCCTGGATATTTTGATTCCCTGGTGAGAGGTATGTCACACCAATTTCCTGCAAAGACATGTAACAACAATGTCATCAGGCTCTTCCCAATAATATGCAAACATCTCTAGAAAACAGTGGACTGAGGCCTCAACCATCCTTCTTGGATCAAATAATTTTTTTTGGTTTTGAAAATCTCTTCCCTGGATATTTTGATTCAGTTCACAAATGAAATGCATTTACCTTTGCACAGTATATAAAAGGGCTGTTCTCAAGCTCTGTAGGAAGAGTTCTATGGTGGGATTTTTTCTCGTGGTGAAGGCCATAAATTACAGACCTTCATTCCCGTCAGTAATAGATGATCTTAAATATACAGTGCATTTATTGTTGGGGAAAACATAGCATTAAATGCCTATTGCAACATCTTTACATTTCATTGCTGCACTTAAAATTGTAGAATACCCAACAGAGTTAACTTTCAGAGCCAAAGATGTATAATGTATCTCCAAAGGGATGTATCCCTGGTGAGAGGTATGTCACACCAATTTCCTGCAAAGACATGTAACAACAATGTCATCAGGCTCTTCCCAACCATATGCAAACATCTCTAGAAAACAGTGGACTGAGGCCTCAACCATCCTTCTTGGATCAAATAATTTTTTTTGGTTTTGAAAATCTCTTCCCTGGATATTTTGATTCAGTTCACAAATGAAATGCATTTACCTTTGCACAGTACATAAAAGGGCTGTTCTCCTAAATCTCTGTAAGACGTAAACTTCCCATGGAAGTGATTTTAACGTGACCTTTAAATGATATTCTCTGCCTCTCCATGATATGGGTAGCTCTCCACTGTCCCTCCTTATAACCGAGGTTTCACTTTTGAGCTTACAGTACGGTTTGATATAGCACCTTGTTAACATTCATGACTAATGATGAGTTATATCTCCACAGTGTTGTATCCCTGATGAGGGATTCTCTGGGAAGGTTTCCTTGAAGGGGCACCCGACAGTGATAAATGAGGGCAACATCCATGGGAACATTCACACTGTTCCCATAAGCACGTAGGACAGAGTGGACTGAAGTCTGAATCACCTTTCGTGGATCAACTATCATTTTCTTGGGATTGATTACATCTTTCCTGTCAGGCTCTCTGTGAACATGCTGTAATATGTTAACACCTGGCACAGTATTCCAGGATGAAATGTTGAACATGTGAGTAGATATGGTTTCTGGGAAGATATGGTTCTCAAAGAGGAAAATGCCAGTCCCTGGGTTTTGCTCCTGAAGACTGCTCATCATTGATTTCCAGTCTGGGTGCTTAAGGGGAAGAATTATTTCATCAGCATCATTAAGAACCACAAACTTGCTTCTCTGCATGTTACGGTATATACAGTCATTTAGAGCTGTGATTTGTCCATAGTAGCCAATGTCTTTTGCATCCATAGAAAAGTGCCATTTAGAAGAAACCTTGAGGTGTGAGTTTATTGGCCAGGGAATTATCTCTACAGATCCTTCTTCCACATAAAACTTCAAGACTTTCTCCATCAGATGGCTGCAGTTGTTCTTATAGATCACCACTTTCTGTACCCCAAGAATCTTGTACATTTCCATACTCTGTATAAACTGCAAAACGTTGTTGTAATTTCCAAACATGGCAGAGATGCATACAGTGAAGTCAACAGAAAAGGTCTCAGCCTTGCGGTTTTTAATTTCAAACCTTGGCAGCTGGTCAATATTTCCATGTGGAGACTGATGAATTGATACATGTGTTGGATCACAGTTTTCGGGTTCCAAACAAACTATATCTGCTGCACCATAAGGAAATCCAAATCTATCTGAGTGAACATCAATTTTTGCTTTTGATACATATATCTTTCCATCGGGTGGACAGCAGAACCAGCAGTATAGTTGTTTTACATCTTCATGATGAACAATCCCAATCACACGAGTGACTTTGCTTTCTCTGTCATCAAAGTATGGGGATATAATAAAAGTTCTGTTATCTTTTAATGCTGTTATTGCATTTTGAGCAGGTTTTCCCCTACAAAGCTGACCTGCTGGACTGGCAGTTGTTGCCTGGGGGAAGAATTTTCTAGTTATGTTATTCTGTAGCTGAAGATCTTTCCAGGAGCAGATTAAAATGCTTCCAAAAAAAATACATGCAACACCACCACAAATATGTTTTTTTCCACAGTGTAACATTGCTGAATTTCACAATTTGGAACTTAACAGACCTTTACACTCAGTCTTCTATTCACTTTCTCTAAAATAAAACAAACACACAAAAAAGCACTCTTTCAGTGATTTGCCAAAAAGAAGTAATATGTTTTGTATTGAACTGTATTCTCTTAAACACACTAGTTACTGTTTTGATACTTCAAACTTTAGTATGAAGACCTGACTTTTTGTACAGGTTTGGAAAAAATGTAGAGGTCTCTTACACCTCCTCATTCCGAACTTTATTATATTTTACTCTACAATTGGGCCCAGTGCAACAGTTTCAGCTATTTTGGTATACAGTAATGGTGATATAGTGTAATTTGAATCACTTTGAGGCCTGGAAGAAATTTTATGTTAGTGAAAACCCACATTCTTTATCTTTTGCTATTCTGAGAAGCTTGTAAAACTAGAGTTATCCTTTCCCCTCTTCTTCCTAAAAAAAGGTGCTGTGAACACAAATTCAAACGGCATTCCTTTGTGTTGGGTAGGAGTAGTCCTGTCACAGTCTCTCAGTGTCCTGATTCCCAAGTCACAAAGAAAATGTTTCCAGAGCCTAGTGTATTTTCAGAGCCTAGTAGGATCCTATGGTATTCAACACTACGTAGGAAAAGAGGTTTGAAAAGAATGACCTTTACAGTTGTTCAGGTGGCTGAGATTACCTTAAATGTAAATTGCTTTTGCCACTAAAGGTGCCAAGTCTCAGACCACAGTTCTAAATCAGCAGTTGATTTCAGTAGGACTTTGTGTGAATATTGTGACCCTTCATTGGGACCACATGCACTACTGAACTTTTTAACCTTGCCATGGAAACTTCAAGTTATCCAAGATGTTACCAAATCAGACTACAAAGTGAAGATTTTCAGTACACAATCATAGCTCAATATTTACACTTGCTTAAACCATCAAGCAGATGGAAGGCAAGTTAAGACAAAACCAAACTAAACCAAACCTTGCTTTATTCTATGAGAAGCCATGAGGACGTGATATAATATGACACATCACAACAATGCATCAGAAAAATTAACCATTGTCTGTACCATTCATAGGTGTTCTGTCCTCTTTTGTATGCACTCCATCTCAGCTGAATAACAGCCGCTTTCTAATTATGCACAAAAGTGCCACTTTAGTTGCAGCTCTATTCTGACTTCAGAGTACTAGGTTTGAAGAACATGATGAAAGCACTGCTGCCTGGTGTAATTTGCAAATCCAAGATGTACCTCAACTGTTCTTTTTCATTTTTTTACCTCAAAAAACATAAGAAGTTATTTTGAATGATGTGTAATGACCCATTCTCTAAAGTTAAAATCTTGTGTTGCTCTCTGCAAATTGTCATGTAAGTTGTACATCTTCCACTTTCATGCAAGTGTTGGTATTCACCAATTTTAAGATTACACCGCATGTGCAGAATAGTTTTCCTAATATGCTCACAAAGTTTAAAGTTACTCAGTTCTGCAGAAGATGTCTCCTCATCTGCTTTAAATACTTCTAGTATTGCCTCCTCAATTAACCAATAAAATCCAAATATGCATTTTGTCATTAGCTCACTAGTAGCTAAGCAGGACCTTGCAAGTGATATTTGCATAGAAAAGATGACAATATATATAAAAGTAGGGCTGCATCATCAGTTATCAGCTTGCACCAAAGTTCTTCAAATACTTATTGTTATTCCTATTTTTGGATTGGAAATCACTTACAATTACTAACATGCTGTCTATTAGAAAACTAAGAGAAAGAATATTTTAGAGTGAGGTGTTCTTTTTCATAAGAGTATTAACAGGGAAGTGGGGTTGAAAAATGCTTACAGCAAACTTCAGGGAAAGAAAAAAACCACAAAAGAAAAAGAAGCCAACAACAACATGGAAAAATAGTCAGTTCAAGTTCTAGTTCTTGTTTTTTATCCACAATTGTTTTTTTCCCCCCCCCCCCCTTTTTTTTTTCTCTCTCTCCCCCCACTTTGGAGGTGGGATTTAGCTGTCAGTGTTCTCTTGGAAGAAATCAACAGAATTCTTCACAGAGATGGGAATAGGTCTGAAGATTGAGAGGCATGTAACAAGCACCGAGGACAGGAGCTTCAATGAAGTTGTGAAAGTAGAGTAGTTTATGGGTCCAATCTTACCATCTAAGAGAACAACAAAGTGACTGAGGAAAGTAGAGAAAATCAACTAATCCTGATATAAACTTTTCAGGGGAGGATGATTTACAGCATAAGAGATGGGACAAATTTACTAAAGGGTGAGATGAAACAAAGCACTGATAAAATTCCTCATCATTAATGTCTGTCACGTTTATTTACAGAAATACAGGGTCCTTTTTTTTTTTTTTTTATACAGATGCTAAGTGCAAAAATCATTACACTGTTCTGGTGAAATATGTTTTCAACTGTCAGTCTTACACCAGGCAGCAATATGCCTTAAAAATTTCCTATTAAATTAGGCTTGGGAAATTTACATGAAAATTTCATTTTTAAGATTTAAGAAATATTAGAAAACTAGTAGTCTCTTCCTGCAATAAAGACCTAATGTTAAAATCCACTCATGGCAAGTACTCTCATTTATCCCCTCTTCCTTTTGGAACACCACTACTTTCTAGCCAATGTAAAAAGAGAGCAATTCCTGTCCCTCTGCACAGAAGTCTCCATCTTAGTTTTATGTGCAAGTTACACAAAGCAGGAAGTTCACTCAAATGTTCCTTTGCATCATGTCTCCTAGGTGAAACATTCTGTTGTCCATTTTTAACTACGTGCAAACAAACTTTTGATATCATTTCTCTTCACAAATTTTGTATGCATATGTTACCCAATTTGGGCAATGCAAATTCATCCTAACAGCTTATTTTTAGACTAACAACAATGAGTAGTACCGTCCTTTGTTCAAATGAACATGTCGGCAAAGCCTCACTTCATGGAAGATGACATTCCAATGTTGAGCAAATGACTGGTATTTCACCATGTCTGATACCACTATGGTCTCTGTTACTGAAGAAAATATTTTGTGTGCTCTGAAACTGAAAAATATCCCTCCTCTTTAAAAGAGGAGTTTTAAAATATATTAGCAACTCTGGACCCTCTCTGCCTGTTTAGGTTTATACCGCTCTGCAGTACAGAGATGAAACTGGTAGAGAACGTTTTACTGCAAGGTATGTTATACCAACAAAGTTCAAGAAACTTAGTCATACAACCAATAAGACCCTTGCTTTTAGTAACTGTTTTAGTGAAGCTTATAAAACACTGTCACCCATTTTGCCTGGAATAGACAACACCTCAGCATTTTTCAGTTGTTACGTAAAAAGAAAATAATGGAGTCCTTGTTTGTTATGTGCAGTCTTGATATTTCACCAGAACGTGCAAAATCATGCCCTCCTGAACGTAAGAGGAATCAAACGATAGTTTATTTACTCACAGTTTCAAGCCTCTTTGTCTAGCACTTCATGCTTTCCAGTGCTCCAATTCTGCCTTACGCTCCCACTGAAATGAGAGACCTTGCAACCTTGCTTGTTCCCCAACATCTGCTTCCTCTACAATTATACTAGTTCTTTGGACCGTCTGTGGGAAATCCCGTGACTTCGTTAGCTTCCTGTACGGCAAATCAGTTTGCTTTCTGTCATTTTCTCACATAAGCAACTTTGAGTTAATTGAATGATACATTCTTCAATTGATGTTTATACCATCTCAGCCTCTCAACAGTCATATTTGTTAACTGGGAGAATGATAGATGATCATTTTCTTCTATTTATGGTGTCTGTGTGTATGTTCTTGGAGATTTATCTAGATCAGGTTTTAAATACTTTCCATTAGATCAGCTGTATCCTAATGTGTTTCAACAGTCTAATCTTAAATAGCCCACTGTGTTTTTCAGAGGAGCTTTTGGGTAAGGTTAGTCCTCTGTTAAGATTATCTCTTCCACTTTATAGACATGAAATCAACACAGCAATTGTGTGCACAGTTGTGAGACCAGGAAATAAAACTTAGTATTTAATCACGTCATGGTTTAACCTCAGCCAACAACTGAGCCACACACAGCCACTCGCTCACTCCCCCTGCCCCAGTGGGATGGGGGAGAGAATCGGAAGAGTAAAAGTGAGAAAACTCATGGGTTGAGATAAGAACAGTTTAATAATGGAACTGAAATAAAGTAAAATAGTAATAGTAAGAATAATAATAGAATATACAAAGCAAGTGATGCACAATGCAATTGCTCACCACCTGCCG